AAGGTTGCTTTCACAATTGGAAAGACAATATTAAAAGCTAAAAAAGAATAAATTATTCAAATGTTATAGAAGCTAATGACAGTATATTAGAAATGTTAGGTAAAAGCTTTACAAGATATATATATATATATATATAGAAGCAACAAAATGGAAACCATCCCGTTTATTGTCTCTGATAACGTCAGCCCAAAGAAAGACTAGGAAAGAGAGTATTTTCATCATCCTATCCAGTCCTGTGCTCCTAATACTTAGGACATTGGAAACAATGGTCTGGTTATGGAAGAATGCTTGGGATATAAGATACATAACTGGCATTAACGACAAGAAAGAGGAACAAACATCAGAGCTAGGATTTATCATTCATTCAGAAATGCAAAATATAATGCCGGTAAGTTGCAAACGATCTACTGAAACTCACAATCTATGAAGCAGCTTTTGACCAAAAGGCCAGGTGGATGCGTTTCAGAGCATTTTATTTAAAAAAAAAACATACATACACGATGTCATCAAAGAGGTCAGGAGAGGGACGGTTTGTGAAGGTTACCAGAGCAGAGAATACATAGATCTGAGACATAATGGCACCAATGATGATGTCTCCTGACTGATGATGCTTGTAAAGGATAGGAAGAGGGTCACTGATGGTGCATTTTGCAATAGGAATCTGGCATGTCACCTGAGGCCAAAACAAAAATAATAATACTACAAACACCATTGTTCTCAATGAAATAATCCCACCTGCAAGAAAATTCACATGTGCCCACATGACCCTTCCTGATTGAAATAGGCACACAGCATCGGTTGATGTGTGGCTTACAAAATTATGCCAAATTTCACTAGCCAGCAGAGTAAGATCATTCTGAGGATCCTGAGGACAAACGTGAAAGAAGAAATAAATATTAACCACTTCCGTCTGCCAGCATTGGTCCGTTTGCTGATACTTCTCTGGGACTTAAGAGGTGAAGCAGAAGTCAACATGTTTGAACTTGTAATTACATTTTTGATGATAACTTTACTGGATTACAATTCCTATGAAATATTGGACAAGAAAACATGTTTATGACATCTCAGGAAAATTATGACCTGGTCTTCTTCAGGAGATACCAAGAGGAGCAAACACTTAGCTCTGAATTGCAGTTAATGTGGACTGTGTGATTTAATTTGTGCCAACACAGCTGCCCTGTATTTTTCTGTTTGAATGCTTAAAATGAATAACACACACACAGAGAGAGAGAGAGAGAGAGAGAGAGAGAGAGAGAGAGAGAGACTGACTCAGGAAAATATTCCCTTAGAATATCTACCCTAAAAGTGAATTTATTCCTTTCCTTTCCTTTCCCTTTTTTCTATTCATTTATTATTCATTTTTTTAAAAAAATCTGCACTTCAAGGTCACATGAGTTCATCTCCAAAAGAACGTCAATTGGAAGAGAGAACTTCATCTGGGTAATTTGTGTGATCATAGAACAAAGCAGGGCCTTGATCAGCAAACACTTTGGTGCAAACACAGATTGTGCAAAATAATCCTTCAATGACCAACATCCTGTTGCTTATCATAGTAAATCATATTAGAGTAGCCTTCTTGGATCAATGGGGATTGGGTGAGTCAATGTCCTTTGATGTTTCTTCGATTCAAAGAAGCCTGTTCTAATTGGAACTTACTTTAACATGGTAAGTCAGAGTTACCGTCCGCCCATTTGAACAATGGAACTGATTGAGGAGTTGAATCCCCTAAGCTTCGTTGATTCAGTGGGCCTACTCAAGTATGATTTACTACACTAAGCATGATGATTTCTTTATTAAAATCATGGATTAGAGAACCCATAGTGATTCAGGAAGGCTCAGGCAAAGTTCAAGGTCTCTCATTTTGGATCATATATCATACAGCAGGAAATTAAAAAAGAAGGCTGATCCCTTAGCAGATGACTCTTGAAGAGCTTCAGGGTCACCCTGACCTCAGCCAAAAGCTCCTAGCGAATGATGAACTAGGAGACTAGGATCCCTATAGCTGCCATGGACTGCTACTGCTCCATTACATCAATGCAACTTGATGACAGTTTTGAGAAACAATTATAGGACATCACATTCAGATAGGGTCATGGAATTGGTCAGGGCTTTCACCCTACGGGCACTGCAGTTTAACGTAATGGTGCACGCTGGTCACGTATGCTTGATCTGTTGGCTCTCTCATGCCAACAGATCAAGCATTTCAGGGAGCTAGCACCAGAGGCCAGGGACTTTCCAGAGGTTCTTCCAGCAGAGGTCTGGCAGATTGGTGGAAACAGGCATTGAGAGCAATAGGTCTTGCATTGTCTCCCAGGACGCGAAAGGCTTATTTAGCCACAGGTACTGAGTTTCATGGATTTAAGAGGAGCTAGAGCAAACATGGCCAGCTCCAGTGGAGCACCTTCAACAATTCATAATGGTCTTACATAGGAAGGGATTAGCCACAGGCAGTATTCAGGGTAAACTGTCAGCCCTGGCATTCTATGCAACATCGAATGGATGCAAGGATTTTTCTGGTGATTTTAGAATCAGGAACATGTTGGAAGGATGGTCCAGGGAGAGGGTCCAGGATGCCACAACACCCATATCCCCTTCTCTCCTTGGACTATGTGAGCAGTGGGTAGCTTTATGTAGGGACCGATATGAGGTGACATTATTTCAAGCAGTGGCATTGGTGGCCTTTTTTGGGGCCCTGCGAATTAGCAAGTTAGTGGCTATGGGAAAAGGGGACACCTCACTAAGGGCCTTACAGCAGGGCGATGTTATAGTTCAGGATGGTGAGTTAAAGATCAATATAAGGCGGTCCAAAGCGGATCCGTTGGGAAAAGGCAGGCAATTAGTTTTAGGGAAATGTAGTATTAAGTGCATTTGTCCCGTAAAGGTAGTTCAGGAATTCATGGAGATCAGGGGTCCAAATGTGGGGTATTTATTCCAACATATGGATGGGTTGCCACTTACAAAATATCAATTTTGGAAACTTACTGACATGGCACTGGAGAGGATAGAAGTGAAGGAGATGAGATTTGGGACACATTCCTTTAGAATAGGAGCAGCATCAATTGCAGCAGCTATGGGTTATAATACAGACCAAATCAAACAGCTGGGGCGTTGGTCGTTGTCTTGCTATCATAAGTACATCAGACCTCTACCTAATGTGTAGGAAGGGGCCCTTTGTGTCATTGCAGGTGTCAAGAGGCTGGAAGGCTGAAGGCACATGATGATCATCAGCCACAGTTATGTTTATTGGGTGGCGCATTATGCCGCATCTTCCCCGTGGGGGAATGATTTAGGGCTTAGTGCCCATGCATATATTACATGGAAAGGCATGCGTGGCACGCAATGGATCCAGTTCAGCAGGATGACGGCCTTTAACCAGACACCACCTGATATTTTAGTAATTCATTTGGGAGCAATGATCTGCCTGGATCATCTGGTAAGGCAGTGATACTTGACATTCTAAGTCTAAGAGATCTTAGAAGGTTGAATGAAAAGTATCCTGCAATGAGGATTGTGTGGTCCATGATCATCCCACGTTTGGCCTAGCGAGGTGCCCAGAACATTGAAAATGTTAACAAGGCCTGCCAACGGGTCAGTAGGGAAGTGTGTAGAGGTGTCTGCAGCGGCGGCCTCAGATCTGTGGTCAATCACCACAGGATCCAAACTTCCAACACTAAATATTTTAGTAGTGATGGCATCCACCTATCTGATGCAGGTTTGGACATATTTCTTGAAGACATTAAAGGGGGCCTGCTCTCTGAGCTACGTGTGCTCAATGGCAGGCATGGTACTTAGTCAAGCTAGTCCCTATGCTGTGGTGGGTAGTGCGGAAAAACAGGTTGTCTCGGTGTGCCCCATTGGTAATTCTGGTAAGCCAACAGCGCATCCGACCTCCCGGGTCTGCGGATCGTGCGATTACAGGGCCTGCGGCGGGAAGATGCGCTGGGCCAGTTTCAGACCAACAGTCATCAAATAAAGATGGCTCAAGGTTTGGGGTGTTTATTAGAGGCCGCCCAGGTTCCTGCTGTCATCAAGAGTGCTGGAAACTGGGGCCCGGGAGTCGCCCATTGACTGTTAAGGGTATCGTGGATACCCTACATTTTCCTGCTTCCGCACTACCGCAGGCCCCCTTATTTGATGAGGCCAGCGATATATATAATTGGACTTGATTTAATAAAGTGTGGCCCATATTTTAATCCATATCTCTGTCTCGTGTCTTTATTCCGGGACCTGGGTGGGCAAAGAAGTATTTGTATTTTCTATGTTGTGTTTAGGCTTTCCCTCTGGAGGAGAAGTAGCAATTTCATGTTCTTTTTGTGCTGAAATATTGGAAGAAACAAAAGTTGTCAAGATTTTGCAGACTCCTGTGCACTGGAGCAAGATCTTCCTCAGTGAGTATATGCTTCAGAGACTGGATATGAAGAGGATCCTAATTTAAAGCCGAAGAAAAGAAAGAGATAGAGTGAAGGGAAGGGAGCGAAAAGGATGACAGAAAACCAAGGTATTTTTGCACTGTATTTGATTTATTCAACCAATGATTCATTAGAAGGAAAGCTTTGCTGATTAAAGACCAAAAGCATTTAGAACTTCTAAAACTTTCTCCTTACTAGCTGCTCCCTGTTGTTCAAATCAGGCCTTGCCAAAATGATGTAACATTTGGGGGAAAAGATGCAAACCAGCAATCCAGCGCTGGAGGCCAGGATGGAGAAAATCTCCACAGCCAAGTAGTTGTGACTTTCAAATAACGAAATAAAGATGTTCTGCATCCTTTCAAATGAGCCCTTTCTTTACTTTTATTTAACTAAATACTCTCTTAAGAGTTATTGTGCATCACAGTGATGGAGTGTGAGGGACATATATGATGCAATGGGTAATGAAGCAATCAAGCAGGGGGAAAAGAGGAAAGAAAATAAACATATCCTTTGCAAGTATATGATTCATTCAGTCTATGCCCTCATCACCAGGAAACCTTTACTGAATAAAGACCAATGACATTGGAATTCTTAATGCTTTCTTCTTATCAGCTTCATTCTGTTGTTCAAATCGGACCTCACCAAAATGATGTAGCATTTTGGAAAAAAGATGCAAAACAGCAATCCAGCACTGGAGGCCAGGATGGAGAAGATCTCCACAGCCACCATGTATTTCCCCTTGGTGCTCAGATAGGTGGGCACAAAGGAAAACCAGACACTGCAGAAGACCAACATGCTGAAGGTGATCAGCTTGGCTTCATTGAAACTGTCTGGTAATTTCCTGGCAAGGAAAGCCACAAGGAAACTGCTCATGGACAAGAAGCCTAAAAAGCCTAAGACAGAGTAGAACATGATAGTGGATCCATCATTACATTTCACAATCATCTTGCCAGCCATTGAGTTCATGTCAAGATCTGGGAAGGGAGGAGAGGTGGCCAGCCAGACAGCACAAAGGCTGGCTTGGATCAAAGAGCAGAAAAGAACAATGGAGGTGGCCATTTTCCATCCCATCCACTTCCTCATCCTGGACCCTGGTTTGGCGGCCATGAAAGCACAAACTACCATAATGGTTTTGGCTAAAACACAAGCAACTGCCACTGAGAAGATGAATCCAAAAGCTGTTTGCTGAAGGAGACAGGCCACTTTTCCAGGCTGTCCAATGAAGAGCAGAACACAAAGGAAGGAGAGCATCAGGGAGACGAGGAGGGTGTAAGAAAGGTTCCGGTTGTTGGCTTTGACTATTGGAGTGTCCTTGTACTTAGTGAATATCCGAGACACCAACGCTGTGATGAGAAAAAGGAGAAAAGCAGAGACAGCTAGACTGATCCCCAAAGGTTCTTCATAAGACAAGAAGCTTACAATCTTTGGAAAGCAGTCCCTTTTCTCCTTGTTTGGATACTGGTCTTCTGGGCACTGGTAACAGTCATCCATGTCTAGAAAAGTAGGATTGGGTTTAAAATATGGACAATCTGTATTTATTGTAATATTGATTGAACATTAAACTGCCATGAATTAGTGCTTCTCAAGCCAACACCCAAATCCTGAAACCTGTCATGTTCTGGATACCATATGCAACTTAAAGAATTTCATTCTGTCTTCATTTTAAGCAAATTAATTTTGCCAGAAAGGAAGCAATATAAAAAAATCTTTTTAATCTCCGCCAGTTTGGAGGAGAAAGATGTTCTCACCTATGAAAAGGAAATAAACTTCTATTCACATCCCTTCAGTTCATTCAATATATTTGTCAAAATCTCTGGAAATCTTAGGAGCCGGACCTGCTTACCCTTCTGTTTGGAAATTTTCCCTTCTGGACATGGGAGACAATCGTAGCAACAAAACGGCTTGCCTTCTTTCTTTGCCTTCCTGTACCCTGCATGGCAATTTTCATTGCACAGAGACAGGGGCTGTGCCTGTTCACAAATGGAAGAGGAGAACAACAAACTAGTTATTGTTTGGTTGTTGTGTGTTTTCTGGGCTGTTTAGCCGTGTTTTTAAAGTTTTTCTTCCTAATGTTTCGCCAGTCTCTGTGGCCAGCATCTTCAGAGGACAAGAGTCAGAACTGATTTGTTTCACTTATTGTGTTTTCAGAAATATTTCCTGTTTTGGTTTCTCTGCATTACAGGAGATCAACCTCTCTTTGGGAATTATGAAATGAGAGAAGGGGAAGATTCTATGAAGGTGGAAGACCTCTGTGGCTAATGGGATTTGGAACTCAGACACACGTTTATGGCTAAGCAAGATAAGAATTACCCAATGAGGTGTGGTGGATAGAGTAATGGACTAGGACTCAGGAGATATGGTTAGGGTTCCTTGGTTTTGCCATGGAATGTTACTGGTTTGCAGAACTGGAAAAGCCCATCCTTATATGCTCCACTTCCTTTGATACCCTAGTAGGGTCAATCACTGTACATCATTTCCAACTGGATGGCACATAACAACAAGATGAAGGTGGAGGGAATGCTGCCAAGTTTGAGTAAACACATCTCTAATTGTTTAAGAATCTTGAGATCTTTTAATAATGAAAAGGAAGATATTGGTTAGCATTCGCTTTAAAAAGTAAGTACAACAGCATTCTCCTTCTGTGTGTCCCTGCTGTCCAAATTAAATACAGTGGTGCCCCGCATGACAATGATAATCTGTTCCATAGAAATAGCTGTTTAGCGAAGACATTGTCTTCCAAAAACCATTTCCCCATTGGAATGCATTGAAACCCATTTAATGTGTTCCAATGGGGAAAAACTGATGTCGTTTTACATAGGGAAGCCATTTTGCAAAGTGCCGATCAGCTGTTAAAAGGGCATCAGTCCCAAAAACACCCATTTTGAGAAGCGCCGATCAGTGTTAAAACCGTCATCTTGCAAGAAATGGTTTGCAAAGCAGGGACCCAAACATCATCCAGTGAAAATCGCCCATTGGAATCACTGTTTTGCAAATCGCTATAGCGATCGCAAATCCTCATCGTCATGCAGATTCGTCATTTTGCGAGGTCGTTGTCTAGCGAGGTACCACTGTACATACAGAGGTCCACAGTATGGAGAGGATCATGCTCTAATTTCTTAGGGTGCCAAGTCTCTTGTTGTCAGGGTGTGTGTGTGTGTGTGTGCGTGCGGGCGTGGGTGCGTGCGTGGGTGCGTGCGTGCGTGTGTGTGTGTGTGTGTGTGTGTGTGTGTGTGACAAGAAGTGGCACCTCTGTTTTTACATTTCATGATGGAGCACCGAATCCAGACATTCGAGAAAGAATGAATGCAAGATCTGAGCCTGGGAGATAAAATCTGCCAGTCTCTTACAGAGTCATCATTGCTTCTTTAAAATGCAAGTTCTTTCTATTCCAAATATAGAGAAAGTAATGAAGTATAATAGGGACGTGGTGGCGCTGCGGGCTAAACCGCAGAAGCCTGTGCTACAGGGTCAGAAGACCAAGCAGTCGTAAGATCGAATCCACGCGACGGAGTGAGCTCCTGTCACTTGTCCCAGCTCCCGCCAACCTAGCGGTTCAAAAGCATGCAAATGCAAGTAGATAAATAGGGACCACTTCGGTGGGAAGGTAACAGCGTTCTGTGTCTAAGTCGCACTGGCCATGTGACCACGGAAGATTGTCTTCAGACAAACGCTGGCTCTATGGCTTGGAAACGGGGATGAGCACCGCCCCCTAGAGTCGAACACGACTGGACAAAAATTGTCAAGGGGAACCTTTACCTTTACCTTTAATGAAGTATAATAACTTTTTATGTTGCCTGGTTTCACCATCTTTTAAAGTTTTTTTTTTAATGTTAGGTATTAGGTTGGAAGGATCTTGATGATTGTTAATTTCATTTAAGGAGCGTATGAAGGAATGTTCATGAAGATTTCTTGGGTTGTTTTAGAGGAGCAGGGACCTGACCTTGGCTCAGTGGAACAAAACTAAGAAGTACACTTCGATAGCATATGTCTTTGCAAGCCATGAGGAGGAAAGGAACCATAATTACAAACTGTTCCACTGGGTGGGAATCATTCTGATGTGAAAAGAGATAAGGCTGACGCTACTGTTGGTCAAATGGAGTTGGCTGCATAGGCAGCTGATATTGATGGGATAGCAGCAGGCTCCTGAAAGATGCGGGTCTATAGTCAACATGGGTGGCCATGCAACCTTCCTTGAAGCTGTTTTGCTCACAAAGCGAAACCAGAAGTGTTGTCACATGAGAGTTCCTAAAATGAATTGATAATAGCTAATTCTGAAGAGGTCCAAAAATCCAAGAAACCATGGATTGGACTTCAGCACAGCGAAACAGTGAACTGTTGATATGTATGTGGTGGACCCTACCTGGTTAAACCTCCTTGGCCACGCAATAGCTTCCTCACAAATGGTGAACATTTCTTCCTGGGAAGCCTTGGGGTCTATTCTTCCAACTCTCACTCTAAGAAAGGATTGGTTTGGGAAAGGGACCCAGTTGATAACATTGAATCGTGCCTCTAACTCTCCATCTTGATTGAAGGAGACTTTTGTTCCAGCGCTGTTATTGAATGAAACCCTTCTCACAAAGTGGTTGAGCTAAATTGGAAAATGAAAAATAATATGAAAGGAGACCCCCCCAAAAAAAGTGAATTCATATAGAAAAGAATAGTGAATAATGTGATTATAAATATGTTCTTATTCATTTAGTTTATTCTCCAGTGTTCTTCCAATTATGAATGTGAGTAGAAGAAAGCAAAGTTTCTTATTCTTGAGAATTTTTCTGTTTCCAACATCCCAGGACTTGCAACTCAGACTTTCTCCTGCATTTATTTATTGTTGGTTGGTTGGTTGGTTGGTTGGTTGGTTGGTTGGTTGGTTGGTTGGTTGGTTGGTTGGTTGGTTGGTTGGTTGGTTGGTTGGTTGGTTGGTTGGTTGGTTGGTTGGTTGGTTGGTTGGTTGGTTGGTTGGTTGGTTGGTTGGTTGGTTGGTTGGTTGGTTGGTTGGTTGGTTGGTTGGTTGGTTGGTTGGTTGGTTGGTTGGTTGGTTGGTTGGTTGGTTGGTTGATTGATTGATTGATTGATTGATTGATTGATTGATTGAATTAAAAAGCAGTGGATTCTCTATTTTTAAAAATAGTTGTTTAATCTATTAAAAACATCTGTTCATCAATTTTCAGCTTTTCTGGCATTATTGAAATGACTGAACTGGAAGAAATAAATCCATCACTCATTATATATAAATGAAGAGAGAAACCAAAAATAGGTATATAATTCTCAGTACATTGTGACATTTGCCCAAACCAAGCTATCGTCAGGAACAGCAGCGGGATAGCTTTCAGCTAAACATCTGGGTAACATGAAACTATGCATATCAGTGAAATAATCATTAAAAAAAGAGGAAAGTAATATGGAAGCACAAAATGAAATTCTACAAACTTATTAGATGGATACACACATAAATAGTTAAAACGGAAAATGTTGTCCCCTGCCCACATCCACCTGAGATGGTAGATAGTGTGATGGAGGGTACGCTCCACTTTCAGAGAGGTGACAAAACATTGGATGTTACAAGCTGGTCCTTCTCTAAACCTCTGGACCACTAAAGAGATGGAATAGGTTGCTGAGAGTAGGACAAACTCTGGAACTGGTGAGGATCAATTTCCTCAACTTGTCTTTCCATTTTAGATGGCAAAAATTGCATTACTCTAAAATTACCTGATGATAATAAAAGAGAAGCATTATTCCTCTCTTTCTTACACCCAAATGGGTTCACTGTACTGAGGCTTTGGATTCCTTCAGACCTCCAGGATGAGATGTTTTGGCCAAATAAAGTGGGAATTGGTCTTTTGAAGTTGAAGTTCCAACACTGAACACTGACATCGAATGTTTGATGCAATAAGAAACTAGGCCCTCCAGGGAATGTCAACTTCTACCATAGACTGGGTTTCATTTCCTATTTATAAAATCCTCACACAAGATCTCTTTTTGTATATGTGTTCTGGACCTTCCAGTCATCCCCTCATTTTCATTACCTTACCTTCCATGGCTGGTTCTTCAGAACATTCGGTTTTGCTTCATCCACTCTTCCTCTGTGTTTAAATTGAGATGAATGCATCTCATGCAAGGCGTGTGCCAAAGCATAGACGGCATTGTAGATGCTGTAGCTGTGACTGGTCATTTTCATTTCAAAAATGGAGGCAGGCAGAATCTCCAGCTTCTCCTCCCCAGTGCAGATTGGCCCAAACTGGATGTCTCTCATGGAGCCAGGGAATGAACATTGAAATGCCGCTTCCCAGAAGACCAGTAAAAGATAATCATCTCTCTCCAATGTAGGATCTCTGCTTTGAAGAAAATTCTGAAATTCCGATATAGCTTCAGAATGAACTGAAATGGATAGTGCACCATGGAGGAAGTCTACATCCAAATGTTGTTGAAAGGGAAGTGACATAAAGTCCACCTGTGCAGTAATAATCCAGACTTTGCCTTTTGCCTCCCATGATATTCCCTCAAGCTCTGAGAAACCAGGAAACATTCTCAAAAATATCATGGCATCAATTTCACCATGAATTATCACGGCATTAACAGTGCTCTTCATGATCACATAGTAAATTTTGATGCTTTCTTCCACCATCTCACCAATGTCATTTGAATATGATATTACTGGCCACCTTTCGATAAAATCCAAGCAGACACCTTCCTGGGCAAATATGGGGACTATCTCACTTATGAACCTCTCTCCATTGTCATTGTCCATTGCCATCACCCCAGTCCATGTCCATCTGAAATGAAGCAGGAGTTGAAGAAGACCTCGGTACTGATGGTCAGCATTTGGGAACATCTGGTGATAGAAAGCAGCCTGGGGATTTCCATTGACCAGTGGAGCAGAGCCATATATGAGCTGAACACAGTAAAACAAAATGAGGGAGGGAAAGAGAGAGTTTTTAGATAGATAGATAGATAGATAGATAGATAGATAGATAGATAGATAGATAGATAGATAGATAGATAGATAGATAGATAGATAGATAGAAAGAAAGAAAGAAAGAAAGAAAGAAAGAAAGAAAGAAAGAAAGAAAGAAAGAAAGAAAGAAAGAAAGAAAGAAAGAAAGAAAGAAGCAAGCAAGCAAGCAAGCAAGCAAAGAAGCAAGCAAGGAAGGACGGACGGACGGACAGACATATTTTCCAAGCTCTGGGACGGACGGACGGACGGACGGACGGACGGACGGATGGACGGACGGACGGACATATTTTCCAAGCTCTGATAGCCAAACAAGAGTTGTAATCCCTTTCATACTTCTAAAACGGACTGCTGCTTCGGTGAATTTAACGGACTTCAAGCGAAAGAGATGAATTGTGTAATTCATAGACAAGAGAAAAAAGACATACAACATACTTTCCAAACAGATCTGACTGAGCCCAAGAGATGGGTGGCATCGCTTTGAGCATTGGAACCTGCCCCCTTTTCATGGCAGTGTCTCATGATTCCACATTATTAATGGTGGTGGTGTTTCACATGGCTCCAATGTGATACAAGAACTTCAGCCGCCATTGTATAAACTATATTCATTCATTCATTCATTTTAATTTTCTATATTTTATAACTGAGATGTGTGTGTGTGTGTGTTTGATGGTTATAGGCTGTCTATCCAAATGACAGCACAACAAAAAGATTGATGGAAACCATAAAGTGTTTTTAATGGTTTCTTCTATCATGACGGCTCACACAGGAGAAAAATAAAATAAAAGGAATTGATATAACGTATGATATTCCAGATAAAACACTCAGACCAACATCCTGCTAAGGAAACATGGAGCAGAAGGGCACTGAAGGCCCCCTCTGCATGCTTGGTGTGTTTTTAATGGTTTCTTCTATCATGACTGCTCACACAGGAAAAAAAAATAAAAGAAATTGATATCCCTTTATTTATCAGTCTCTGTGACTGGCCTCTTCAGAGGACAGCAACCTGCTCTGGGAATTGATTTCCCTTTATTTAAGTCTCAACTTCTTTCATTTTTAAACCACAAAGGAAAGAAAGAGACATGAGAATATATTTTAAACACCCATTCCACAGGCACAAACTTTACCTGCGGAAGTTTGAAGATACACAGAATGGTGGCCATGTGGCGGATGACTTGTGGGTTAGGTCCTCCAATGACTGCCATGAGATTGTTCACAGTATCACAATTGTAATTGGGCATGAATTTGCCCTTTGCAGATAACATTTCCAATGAGGCATGATACGTCCAACTTGGAATGAAATAGCTGTTATAGATGTGGAAGCCGAGAGTGACGTTGGGTACTATCTGTGTGCTTTTGTTGATCTCCTGAACGGCGAAAGCCAAGGACAGGACATGCTGGTAGATCTGAACCATGAATCTAGAATTAGAGGGACATGCTGAATCACAGCACATTTGACTGAGAACAATGTGCTACATTTCAATAAGTTGTACCTATTTGTCACAACACACTGACATATGAAGAAACATACTCTGTTCTTGCTGTCTTAAGTTCTCAATAGCTTCTTAATGATACTAATGTAAAAAGGTATTACTTGGTATTAAAGCAGAAGGCTGTTTCTGAAACTTTCACCAAAATGTACTCCTAAGATAATGATCTTATTTCTTTCCAGATCTGGAGAGTACCAGTTACCCTTGATTTCCAAAACAGCCTTAGCTATCCAAAAAAATTCATAGTATCAGATTTTTTTTCTCTGTCGGATGGAGTTAGAGCTGCCTATGCCTTCCTCCATTTCTTCTAATTTTTTTCGGTTACCAATGCTCAAATGTGAAAGGACACCAGTTTAGATCACTGAGAAAAGCTTAAATTTTTGGTTTTTCTGTGAGTAAACCTACCTGGACAGCATCTTTGATTGTTTATAGTAGAAGGGAGTAACTACCAAATACATACAATGAATGAGTTGGGTTGAGAGTGCATTCTCCACTGGACATGTATGTGGTGGATCTAAAAGATGAACGTTCATCCTTGAAAGCTGCTCTTAATCCAGCCACCTTCAATTATCTAAATACAAAGTGTCATTAACTCATCAAAGCTGCGTCTCAAAGCAATCAGATTCTTCATAGAATCAGTCTGAGATACAGCTGGAAAAATTGGTCAAAAGACTGATTCCATAATTTGCAGCTCGATGAGGAGTTTTATTGTTCAATAAAAATGTCATCTAGCTTAACAAGCCGTCTTTGCTCCTTCCCGTATATATAAAAGATTGAGTCATAGATCCAGCTGGTTCATATGGAGCTGCAAAGTTGTATATTTGGGAAAAGCTTACTGTTAAACTGGGACCGGAGGAAGAGTGGCGCTCTAACAAAGATTTCATTGCAAGACCCTAGTAGGTGAAAAGGACACCATCTATAGTTCAAGAGATAATGCTTAGAATCTTAAGGAGGTTTAGAATGAAGGGCACAGACAACTTTTGATAATATCCATTTGGTACTGTTCAGCAGACCTGCATAGGGCATATATTGTCACCCCTTTCCTTTGCTGAGTGGGGAATTGCGAACTAAATTTGCTAATCCTAGTTAAGTGCTATTGGTTATGCTTATTAGTCATGCGTCTGACCGGAAGGTCTAAAAATTCTGTAGGGCCACTAAAATGATAATCTTAGGAAGTTCTCATTCTCACTTCAGATATACAAAAGGATCTTTCTGAAAGTTATGAATAAAATGGCGATTCGTTAAAAAAGAAGCAAATCATCAAGGCCAAGACAAGAGAGAATTAGAAGACTGTGAGGCATGCTTTCTCAGCCCCAAATGAGGGCCAGACATGTTCTTTGTTACCTAAAAAACTAGGAGAAAGATTGGCCATGTGCTCCTTATAATTAGGAAATCTGAAACAATGGGGCTGGTTATGGAAGAAAGTTTCAAATATAAGAGACATGGGTGGTAGCGATTTAAAAGAGAAGAAAGAGAAATAAACATTATACCTAGCATCGAGAGTCATCATTATATTTTGCATCATTCAAAGATGCAAAATATAATGCCAACCAGTCTCGAACTGTCCATTGGAATCCACACTCACCTATGACACAGCCCTTCAACCAAGACACGATGGAAATCTTTATGAGCATTTTATTTTTTAAAAAAAAACAGAGAAAGATAAAAACAAAAAACCACTGGAACGTTTCCTGAAGCTATGATGGTGATGCTTTTCGAAAACAAAACAAAAACACAGCAAATATGCAAATCATCAAGGCAAAAGCCAGATAAATCCAAAGCAATGGACCTGTTCATGGAGGAATGTTTGAGATAAAAGACACATAAGTGATAATTACTCTGAAGAAGAAGCAATGAAATGACGAGTCCTATATACACAGCACTAGGATTAGTCTTTCATTCAAAGATGCAAAATATAATGCCAGTGAATCTCAAACTATCTGGTGGAACTATCACTCATCTATGACACAGCCCTTGAAACAAGACAGGATGGTGACTCTTATGAGCATTTTGTTAAAAAAACAACAACAACGTACACTGTTTCGTCAAAGAGTTCAGGAGAAGGAGGGCTGCTGAAGGTTGCCGGAGCAGAGAATACATAGATCTGAGACATGATGGCACCGATGATGATGTCTCCTGACTGGTGGTGCTTGTAAAGGATGGGAAGAGGCTCGCTGGCGCTGCATTTTGCAATAGGAATTTTGCACATCACTTGGGGCCAAAACAATGAAAACAAAACTGCAAACAGAATTCTTTTCAATGGAAAAATTCCATCCACAAACCCATTCGCTTGTCCCCTCATTGTCCCCCACCGAGTTAGCACAGCCTGGTTGAAATGGCCACAGTCCCGTCGGTTGATGTGTGTGGCTGACAAGGTGTGCCAAAGATTATCAGTCAGCAGATGGACATAGCCCTGAGGATCCCCAGGTCAAACATGAAAGAAGAAACAGATATTAATAAATTCCCTCTGCCAGCATTTGTCTCTGTGTTGATAGTCCTCTGTGACTTACAGGTAAAGTCAATGTCAACATGGTCAAAATTACAGTGGAGATAATGACTTACTCAAAATCACAATTTTTATGGAATACTGTTAAAGAAAACATGTTTATGACATCTCAGCAAAAATGCAACCTGGTCTTCTTCAGGAGATACCAAGAGGCACGGACGTTTATCTCTCTATTACTATATTTTAAAAAAACACCCACCCCCCTGATGTGGAATGTGGGATTAGCTTTGTGCCAACCCAGCTCTCTTACTTCTGTTGAGATTCTTGAGATGGTAGACATCAAGAAAGAATCCTCAGAATAATGAGACCTTCAACAAAAAATGAATTTATTTTTACTGATTTGCTTTTATTGGGATGATTAGATAAATAACACCAAGAAAAAAAAATCTTCAGAATAATGTTCCATTAGATGAGAAAATGACCAAAAAAGCGAAATTTTTTCCTTTCCTTTTTTCTTTTTAAATGTCGGTAAAATTTGCATTGTAGGATACATAATTTCACCTCCCAGAGAACTTCATCTGGATGTTCAGAAGTTCAGAGGTTTATGTGGAGTAATTGTATGGTACAGTGGTGCCTCGCATAATGAGCGCACCGTTTAACGACGAATCCGCATAGCAATGCGGATTTTGTGATCGCTTTTGTAATCGCATTGCGATGTTTTAAATAGGCAAAACATCGCATTGCGATGTTTTAAAACAGCTGATCGGTGGTTCCAAAATGGCCGCCGTATCAACAAAATGGCCGCCCGCAGCGTTTTTGCGCCGATTCCTCGCTTACCGTGGTGGCAAAAATGGAGGATTCCCGCTTAGCGGTGAGTTTATCCCCCATAGGGGTTTATCCCCCTATGGTTTTTTCTGTTCCGTTTAGCGATGTTTCCGGATAGCGACGTTTTTCCTGGAATGGATTAACGTCGCTATGCGGGGCACCACTGTAATAGAAAAAATCAGGGCCTTGATCAACAAACACTACAGTTTGTGCAAAATACTCATTCAGTGGCCAAAATCTTGTTGCTTAGTGTATTAAGTCAAACTAGTGTAGGCTTACTGAATCAATGAAAACCGGATGTGTCAACTTCTTTGTACGCTCCTTTGATTCAAATTCCAATTTTCTTTAGCATAGTAAGTCACAGTTAAAGTAGGCCCATTTGAGTAATGGAGTTTACATAATAGTTGAATCACATGATCTCCATTGATTAAATTGTCTTACTCTCATGTGATTTACTACACTAAGCCATAAGATTTTGGCCACTATGTTGTAAAACAATACATTAGGGAGCCCTTAGTGATTCATGCCGACTTTTCGGATATTCATTCATATAAATCATATAAATGTTGTAAAACAATACATTAGGGAGCCCTAAGTGATTCATGCCGACTTTTTGGATATTCATTCATATAAATCTACTCATTTAAACCCAAAATTCAGGGTATCCCATTTTAGATCACATGTCATAAAGGCAGGAAACTAAAAACAAAGGCTTATACCTGAGCAGATGAAAACATGATCAGGAATGATTTTGTACAAATTTACACAGTTGTGCTTGGGATCAGCAAAATGGTATGATTAGAGATGGGGACGAATATAAAAATGGATCAGTTTTTCTGATGAATATAGCCTATTTGTCATATACAGTGGTGCCTTGCTTAACGATTGCTTCGCATAACGAAAATGACCTTGCTTAACGATTGCTTCGCATAACGAAAAATTCACTTGACCATGGCTTTTTTGGAGCGATCTTGCGCTCCGTTTAACAATTTTCCCTATGGGAGATTTTCACTTAACGATTTCGGGACCATGCTTCGCATAACAATTAGGTTTTTGGTCCCCTTGTTTCGCTTAACGATTTTGTTACAGCCCCATTTTCGCTATTTTTAAAATATTCTAAAATGTTTAAAAATGTTTAAAATGCTTGGAATCGTTAGTGCACCTAATAAAACCTTTGTTAAATTAATTTGGCTTTGTTCTGAGTCTTTTTGAATAGATTTGTGAATTTGTTTTCTCCCCCATTGAAATGCATTGAAAAGGCTTCAATGCATTTCAATTGGGGAACCACGTTTCACTTAACGTTTTTCCTATGGCGATTTTCGCTTAAGGACGGTACAGTAATCCGTTCCAATTGGAACAGATTATGCGGTTTTCAATGCATCTCTATGGGAAATGGTGTTTCGCTTAACGATGTTTTCACATAGCGATTTTTTTTGAACCAATTAAAATCGTTAAGCAAGGCACCACTGTATTTGTTGATCTGTATTTGTAAAACTTTAAATCAGGACGAATATGGCTTGACGAATATTTCCTCGGTTTTATTCGTTGATCCATTCATATTCGTCTATATTTGTTACCCCTTTTGGGGGCTTCTTTGAGCTTGCTGGCACCAATTCGAAGCTCTGGCCAATCAGGACATAGATCCTGGCATGTCCGGCAGTCAATAGCGCTGCTGAAAGGTGTATCTACTTTTACAGATGCTTCATATAAGCTTTTCCTATCCAGCCATTCCCCACTTCTGTTCGCTCTCTGGAGTGAGTACAGTTGCTCCTTGCTGACTTACTGGTGTTGTTGCGGTTTCGCTATTGGGGCAGCAAAGCAAAGACTTATATTTTTCTTTTTCATCATCATTCATCAACTTGGGGAGGTAAAGGTAAAGGTAAAGGTTCCCCTTGACAATTTTTGTCCAGTCGTGTCTGACTCTAGGGGGCGGTGCTCATCCTGCTCTTCAAGCCATAGAGCCAGCGTTTGTCCGAAGACAATCTTTCCGTGGTCACATGGCCAGTGTGATTTAGACACGGAACACTGTTTACATTCCCACCGAGATGGTACCTATTTATCTCCTCGCATTTGCATGCTTTCGAACCGCTAGGTTGGCGGGAGCTGGGACAGGTGACGGGTGCTCATTCCGTCGCGTGGATTCGAACTTACAACTGCTGGTCTTCTGACCCTGCAGCACAGGCTTCTGCGGTTTAGCCCACAGCGCCACAGTGCCCTCCTTGGGGAGGGATTTCAGGTAGCTTTGGCTACTTCTTTGGAAGGGCTTGATTTTATTTCAAATTCAATCAATCAGACCTTTTTTTCCCCGGGAGACTCTCTCTCTCTCTCTCTCTCTCTCTCTCTCTCTCTCTCTCTGTGTGTGTGTGTGTGTGTGTGTGGTGTATGTGGGGAACTGTCATCATGTGACTGTGGGATCTCTTTTCCTTTATACTCAGTTTTCAAAAGTTTATTTTAGGAGAATAATTTTTTTCCTTTCCCCAGTTTGGTTATGTGCGTGTCCGTGTCTAGGTGGGAGGTTTCTTCAGTTTTCAAAAGTTCATTTTAGGGAGACTTGTGTCTCTCAGGGAATTTGGTGGGTAGGTGGCTGGATCCATCATTCCTTTTTTCTTCTAAAACTTATTTCGGTGTGTGTGCATCTGTGCCCGAACCACAGGGAAGGACTTCACCTGGTGAAGGCTCCATTCGCCACCAACATTACTGGAGCTCTGTGGGGACTTTGGCACTTGTCTGAGAAGAAAGACAGCCAGTTGAGGAGGATTCAGCAGAGATAATGGTAGGGAATATCTGGCTGAGCCCCCTCAGCCCCCCCAGTCAGATCCCTTCCATTACTGGGCAAGGAAACTAGTCAGTTGTCCAATGTGGCTATGGAACTCCTTTCCACACACCCCACCAGTGTCCAGAGTGAGTGTGTGTTTTCCCATCTCAGAGACATTCTCCAACTACGCCGTTTTGTTTTCCCATCTCAGAGACATACTCCAACTACGCCGTTTGCATTTGGATCCCGTTACTGTGGAGAGACTGTCATTCATCAAAGTGAAACTTCCCTTGTTGGGCTTCCCCTCACTGAACCCAAAGAGGTAGGGCTTCAATGAAAGTCTCTCCCTTAACGCACTGCCTGCCTGGGCCCACCTCTCTGTCCACCCATCTGCCCACCTAGCCACTCTCCAGTCCTCCTGAAAAAAATAAGACCTGCCTACTTGCCTGCCGGCCTGTAAACCTGCCCCTCAGGCAGAAGTCCAGCTGCCCCGATTCCAGTTGACTCCTTGGACCAAGTTCCAACTAAGTCACATAAGTCCAGTGGGCCAATTTTTGTAGAACTCCTGCCTGCTGCTATTTCCAGGCGCTTCACCGGGATAACTGCTGCCTGCTTATATATTTTGACTATATAACTCAGGGGCCCATGATTCAATGTTCACCAAACTTTCAGGAATTGTAGGAAAGTATCTGAGGAAGCGTCTCTGCAAATTTGGTATCTCCAGGTCATTGGGGGCCAGAGGAAGCGTCTCTGCAAATTTGGTATCTCCGGGTCATTGGGGGGCAGGTGTTATAGTCATTTAAATTGCAGATGAATCAACTGATAGATTCATCAATTTGTTGAAGAATATTCGTATCTTCATATTCATTGATCCATTAACCTTGATGAATTACAGATCAAAACGAATCACCATTTTTTAAAAAATTCATCCCCATCTCTAGTTCTGATTTATCTTGCTAGCTTGTTGCTAGTATTTTGCCTTATTCGGCAGCGACACATTGCTATGTTTCCGAAACCAATCCCCCTGTAAGTCGACTGAAGTCGTATTCAGTCACTCTAGCATCCAGTATTATTAAAACCCTGAAAGGGGAGTGCTTAGCCTCTCTTCTTGCATTCCCTGTGTGAGGAACAACATCTCAAAGAAGAGAGGTTCTTGCCTGTATGAAGGCTCTACATGTGAGCA